GGAAGCGGTCGGCATTTCCCAATAGTTTAATCCTCATCTGTTGTTTGAATAGGTGTAATCTGGGAGCTTCTCCGACCGCTGGGTAGTAGCCACAACGGGTGGTATTGGAGGCGCGGGTGGATCATCATCACCACCAATCGGTTCTTCATCAGGGGCAACTACTTCAACAGCAACCCGCTGGGCTCGAGCAGCAGCAAGGTCTCGTTCGAACACCTCCCTTGCATTTCCAGCCTCTCTCTCCACCTCTTGTAAGTCCGTTGCATACTGAGCGAGACCATGTTGGGCCCTTTGAAGAAGTGCGTAAGCTTCTATCCGGACAGTATATCGACCTGTGGATGTTCTTGGAAGAAGGTTTGAAGGGTGTCGATTAGTTGTTGGTAATCGATAGGAACGTGTTCCGACATTATAGGCTATAGTGTTGTATTGGTTGGCGATAAGGAACGGAACCTAGTGTGACGGGGGTCTATGGGCGTAGGGACTATGGTGCCAAGGAATACAACTGAGGCGAAGACGTAGCAATAGGTAATCGAGACTATGGACTATGGAGTGTCTCTACCTAGTATGACTAACTAGGTGAACCCTATGACGGGACGTAGAACAAAGTAATATTCGTGGAGTAAATACAAAGGTTCCGTGAAGAGAAGAGGAAAGGAAGGGAAACATCAAAAGGCACGAGACAACGCCCCCTTATATATCCAACTCCTAGTCGGTTAATGACTAATACGCCGCGTAATGGAAACCGAAAGAACATAAGAGAAACTCCATTACAAATCATAGTTCAACCGCGCAATACCTCCTCTTCACAATCCAATCTATCGCCTTAGCCGAAATACAGTATTGCCGTTACAACATTGAGGTACATTTACACTTTGTTCGGGAACGGTTTGAGGATGAATTATTTGAAGTGGAATATATTTCTACGAATGAGAACGTGGTGGATCTACTTACAAAGGGATTGGATAAAGGCAAGCATGCTTTATTTCCTTCTACTATTCTCTGTAGCTCACGAGGGGACGTCTTAAAATATGACGCTCGGCGCATTTCATAGTATTAGAAAACTTTCATTATTTCATTATTGTATTTGTCATCGGTGTATGACCCACTTTCTTATTAGTCATTCCATTACTCATATGTTTATGACTCATTGCATTTCCTTTTGTACTACCTCTCTTTAGTATAAATATGGGGCATTCCCCCTTAGCTAGAACAATCAACACAATCAATTACTTTACTTCTCCTACATACTTTCTCTAATGTCGACATCCAGAACGAAAGGTAGATGATGCCACGGGCCTGGCCAGCCATGACAGCGACAAACACACCCATCTTGCTCACTTCTATCGCAGCGCATGCAATGCGATCCTACGGGCACATGCGCTGGTCACGCCAGCGGTGGTAATCGGCCCAGGGCAATGCGACCAGACTGCGGTCTGAATGGTGTTGATTAGGTGGTTGAGTGATAAGGAAAACAGCACACGCGCTCGAGATGGAATCATGGACACTAGGGCCGGCGCGGCCGAGGCTAATCGATTGACGTTGTGGTGGTTTCGGCGGCGCGGCGACGGCGGTACACTTGGGGTGTTGGTGCCGGCTGTGTTCCTGCCTGTGGATGAGGCAGCGTTGACCGTTATAAACGTGCTGCTACGGTGGGATGAGCAGGCGACGATGGGGGGTGAGGTGGGGGGGATCTGATCTGCAGACTGTGAGACACTGTCCTGTGAGTGATGCCTGTCAACTGCGCCTTGCCCATCCCACTCGCGCTCGCTTACAATATAGCTTTGGTCCCACTAAACTCCAAAATGCCGCACTTATCCCCAAATGGAGCCGCTAACAACCCCCCCCCATCATCTGCTTAACCAGCCACAGTTTCCCTGACACACCGGACGAACACACATCAACCCCAGTGGGATATCGCCACACTAACCACTAATAACTACCGCCGCTGTCTTGCTGGAGGGTGTGGCTACCCACAATTCATGCACTACACTATGACTGGTGTGTAGTTTCGCACTTGCCCCCCGCCGGTACCACCCCCGTTCTTGATCCGAGGTAATTCAGACGGTCCCTTGTTCTCGTCCACTTCCTGGAACGGATGTTCGTGTCAGTGCGGCATACCTTCTTACAGATTCATGTGAGGTTGCGGGTTTTCACCACTCCTTCGACACAGACTTCTTTCCTTGGAGTCGGTTTGTCCTCCCATGGGAGGAGCCCCCGGGTGCTTAGGCCAGTGTTTTGTTGGTATCCAGGTCAGGACACACGGCTATACCCAGAGCCATCTAAGTAGTGTCTGTTCGATATCCCCTTTTTCCCGATTTTCATCATCATAGATAGCATAATGAAGATGTGAGCTAGAGGCAAAAGTTTCCATCGAGCTTTCCTGTTACCAATCATTCTCGCCCGTAAGAACAATAACACGCAAAAACAGATCCTGACACCGGTCAAGACCATCAAACCGATTGATCCCCCCAGGACCACGTGGATCGCGGACGAGTCACCACACGTGACCACACGTGACCACGCATGACCAGGCAAACCGCCGTCGAGTGACCACCCATGATGACCGAGTGACATACCATGAGCGGGTGACGGCTTGTGACGGCCCCCGGAAGAGCGGGGTCCACTAGCAACCTCGGCGCAGAACGTCAAGGATACCAGAATGTTGTTAGACACAGGGCCTAACAGCTTGCGAGGAGTACAGAATAGGCCTGGTGGATGATATCGGTCTGATTGCAAATCTGAAAGCGGAGCGCCGGGCGGCGTGTTCTGTAATATTTTCCTTGTCACGTAGAGTTTTCCCCTTCCCCGCCTATTTTCAAGAATGAAGTTCTGCCTTTTCCGGTGCCCCGGAATCAAGTACCGTTCCGTGAATAGTCTTACCTGCCGTGCCACGGCGGTCCGATATCCTAAGCTAAGCTTAAGCTAAAGACTAAGCTAAGCCCCGCCGTTTCCTTCGGAGTGACAAGCCCGCCTCCGCCAAGTCTTGTATCCGAAGTAACCCTAGCGCCTGGCCCGGACATGCGCCGAGTATCCCGAGTCGTACGCTCGGACACGCCCCGTGAGACGTATCTACCGAAAACCACCAGAGATTCGAGAGAAGCTTCCGAGGGTCTGAGCAAATACTTACCTGACATCACAGCTTCGGACCACCGCAGGGCCATCCGCGGCGGCATTCGTGGTGGCACACGTGCCCAGTGGGGAGTCACAGACCCAGGAGAGCTCCCGACAGCAGGGGCTGCAATTCAAAGTTTGGCGGCAGTCGATATAACAAAACCAGACTCCCGACCAGTGTAGTAGCATTCCTTCTATATATTGTATTGAGCAACACGAAGGGTATTCATTTACAGCTAGAGAGAAGATAAATGGCGGGACAAGAGTGCAATAGGGGCAAATGAGATGTGTTTCACACATACGCTATTTTCTATTCAGTAGTTACTGGGTAACCGTAGATACTAATGGACGGTGGGTAATTGTGCATTTGATTAGCTAGGCTTCCGCTGTAGGTAGGAGGTGTATTTTGGATTGGGCGCCCCATCCGGAACTCCTGATCGGTATAGCGCTCTTAGGGCTCGGTTAGGGCAAAGACTTCAATTTGGGTTTTGTTTTGGCCTGGGGGCTGATTAAATTTTGATTGTGACTTTCTAGACTTTTATTCCAACCATTTCCCAAATTATTGGTGATAGATATCAACCAGATAACCATAATTCTCTCTGTTGACATTGTAAATAAATTTACAGTGACGTTTACTAACAGACAAAAATTGAGGGGAATAGTGGTTCATTCCCAGTTGGTTTCTTTGTCAAACCCACAAAAGATTCATTTCCACACGCTGCTCCCTTTATCGGTGCTGTTTTGATCTTATTTCCCACTGTATTTTCCTAATGTCTTTTATGATGGCTTTTCGTGACTGCGTTTTAATTATGTCTTTACTTTTTTGGGGGGGGTAAGCCTTAGATATGTAGCCTAGAAAGGTTTAATATAAATCAATAGTCTAAGTAGTAAGACCTAGAAGAAGTATGTGCGATGATCTACATTCAATTTGCCTAACGGTCCAGCTTTTTGCTTTTTATCTTGTATATAAGTGTACCTGGAAAAACATGATTTAATGTCTATCAAAAAGTGTCAAATGCAATTGAGGATTCATTTAATGTTTCATTTCCCATAGAAAAAGATTGATATACAGCCACTCAGCCAAAGTGTTCGTGATATAGTTTAATGTCAGTGCGCAGTGTGGCGCACCTGTAATACTGATGCTATTAAAGTAGAGATTCAAAGCGGTGGAAAATATATAATATAGTTCGTGACTATATATAAAAAGAAGATAGGCCATTGATCTTATTCTTCATTAATTTGGCCGCCGTTGGTCACTGGGGAGCTCTTCTCTTGCGGGGTTTTTGATGGTCTGCCACGGTTACATATGGAGAAATATCTTACTCCGAAATCGGAATCACGAACACTTTTGCAGAGTGGCTGTACTATGAGCTTCAATTAGCAAACACTTCAGGGTGATTCACTTATTGATTCGATTACATTGGTGATAGAAGGTGAAATGGAACTAATAAAAATGAAATAAACAACAAGTATTCTTTGTTACCTGAGGGTGCGCCGTTCTTATCATCGTACTACTTGGTGAAAGGCGTAGAGTGAACCGTCTCCCCGACCGAGAGCCAACATTCATTCTCCTCCTCCCACATTCGCAGAAGCTGCGAGGAACTATACTTCGCTTTCTGCATAATCTAGGGGCGGATGATCCTGAATCAATGCAATTCCCCAAGTTCAAGTACAATGCACTGTATTTACCCACGCTGCATGCGAATAGATTAAAGGAATAATGAGTTAAACCAAACGAGGTACATGCATAGATCTTTCTGAACGCATACATGCATAAGATCATGTGAACCAAGCGCTAACCTGCCCCCATCAGAAGACCTACGAGTCATAGCCTACATGGAACAAGTAGCACAGACTGAACAGAGAGAGCCCTTTTCATCGACCAACTACTCCTATACCCACCCCTCAAGTAGCCGAACACAACTCATATGCCCTTCCTTTCTTGCTAGATCTACTGCCCGAGACAAGCCCATAGTCCGCGCATTTATATTTGCACCATGCTCTAATAAAAACTTTACCGTTTCGAAGCTCCCACTTTTGGCGGCCAAGTGCAACGGCGTGCGGCGAGAGATGGTCCTTTCTGTGATATCGGCTCCCTTCTTTAGAAGTTCCTCGACTATGACAACAGAGCCTGCAGCACACGCAAGATGAAGTGCAGTATGTCCATCAACATTATTCGCATCGATCTTATCTCTATCGGTATGCTGGATAAGGAGTGTAGCCGCCCCTTCGTTTGCCTTTCTCGCTGCATCATGCAATGGGGTATCCTCCACGGAATCCTTCGCGTTGATGTCGGCACCCCAAGACAGAAGAAAGGCAACCAAGTCTTCTCCCCCATTTCGATTCTTAGCTGCCAAGTGTAATAGTGTAGCCCCATCCCTGTCTACCGATTCAAAATTTGCCCCGATATCTAATAGATATTCCACCGCCCATTTGCTGGCCCAGCGGGCAGCGGTTTGTATAGGGTAGTGTCCAATGTCACCTCTCACGTGAAGATATTCATTCCCCGTCATTAGTCTCAGTAGCAACATCTCATTTGGCCCTTTACACGCCATGTGTATGGCGGTATCTCTAAAGTCTTTTGTTGGGGGCATAATCTGTGCACCATTCTCCAGCAGAAGATCCATAACGTCCTCATTTGCGGCACGGACTGCGTAGATCAATGGGGTCCGCCCGTGAATGTTCTCCGCGTCGATATCCGCGTTATAGCGAAGAAGTAAACTTGCTAGCGTCGCTTTCCCTTTCTTCCCCGCAGCGAAATGAAGCGGAGTGGCGGAGATATGGTCGTGCGCCTTGGGATCTGCCCCCTCCTCCAACAGCGTCTGTAGTATTTTTTCGTCGCTATTATACACAGCAAGGTGAAGTGGAGTATATTTCCGCTCAATTTCATGATGGTTAAGACCGACAGTATCGCCGCATTTTAAAAGCGTTTGAACAGTTTCCAGGCAGCCAGATTTACAAGCAAAGTGCAATAGCGGGACATGAATGGAAAAAGACGAGATCCACGCTGTAATGGATGTTTTCGCACCATATCGTAGAAGGAGTTCGACAATATCTTGACGACGGCTTCTAATAGCATACACGAGTGCCGTATCCCCATCCTGATCTTGAGCTTCTATGTCTGGGCCCTGTTCAAGAAGCAATCGCACCTTTAAAATCTCGCCAGTATCAACTGCTATGTGAAGGAGCGTCATCGTTCTTGCTCTGTAAGTCAATGGTGCATTAATTTCGATACCAGTGTTCTGGAGAACTCTCCCCAAGTCACGAGATATCCCCTTAGTTACGGCACTATATGCGGTCATATATTGGCCACCTGAAGTCGAATCAGGTTAGAACAATCCCTAGTTTAGGCGAGCCAGGGTCTGTAGTTCATCATTCGACACATACGTACCATTATCTCCAGTGTATTCTTCAAGATGACGAAGAATACTGGTATATGATGGCTGCATTTTATGCTGAAATTTGACGAGAGTGGAATGATCCCCTTCTATACCCAGCTCCTCCTCGCCATCTAGACCAAGAGCTGCAGAGTGCTTCGCTACGGGATTGGAATAAGGGCCTTTTCTCTTCCATGTTCCGTCTTCGCTCTAAAGGGTATATAATGTCAGTATTGGTTTGATATGGTGTATCCTCGCTTGCTAGCATGGTGAAACCGGTGTACCTGAGATAGCTCCCTAGTCTGTTCTGTCTCCTTATAACTCACAACCTTCGCACCATACCGATAGATGCAACTTTTAAAATCTTCCAGGTTGGCTTCAGGCTTAGGCTCCAAAGATTCGACTAGTAGATTCCGTGTTGAATCATACCCAATCATGGCTAATATATCATGCACTTTCATCCCCCGATGTGCTGTTGCATAAAATATCGTAGCCTTCGTATTTTTCAAGAGATCACCAAACCTATCGCTATCCTTCTTGGCTGTCACCATCGCCTATCCACATATGTCAGCCCCTTGCCACCTACACCGTTCCCTCCAGTTGGGTTGACCCACCCGCGTAATTATGAGCCCCCCGAAACTATGGCCAATAAGCACAATTGGCCTTGTATTCTCCTATACCAAGTTAGCTTTCTCTTCGCAATAGTTTCGTCTTATATCCTGGTTGTCTGAACCCTTTGGCGAAATCTCTCTCATGCATGAGAATCATCAGATGCCGGATTTCCGTGCAGAAAATGTCCGGGTAAGCAGTTTACCGCATTATCGGTCTTCAAAACACTTGGAAATGCAAATAATCTCCCCACGTTCCCGCTTCAACTTGAAGGTCTAGAATTCTTCTTTAGGCCACACTTGTCTATGAGAGTTCGCCAAAGTATTTGAACAACCAGAGTATAGAGCTATTTCATCATAACTAACCTCGAGTGTCCCCCGAGCTTTCCTCAGTTCTTCCAGAAATCCATCCGTATAATCTTGTAATGTATGGGTTGCGCAAGCGCTCGTGAGTCTTGAGTCATAGCCATATATCATTGTCCTACAGGTAGGTAAGTCCTCACTCGGAAAGTGTCTTAACCACATCCTTTTCTGTCCACGATTATCCTCCTTCCCTGCCCAGGAACCATACGCGTGCCCATTAAGGCCACATACCACGACGATGCTATCAATATACCAAGACGACCGTCAGCTTCTAATCCCCCGTTTGTGATCCAGGAACATACTCCGCCTTGATTGGACCTGAGGTGCAATACAACTGCGTCAGGGTATAGAAATGTTGATCGATGACGATGTCCCAACTGCAACCGTTGGTAAGACTAATGAAGTAGTATTTATTCTTTCCCTCCCGTAGCTCCCTCACCAAACTGGCCGGCGCATGTGGTGTGAACTCGAGTAAAGCGGTCTGTGTCCAGCTATCATAGCACGAAGGATTAAGTTATAGGTGGTATTCGTCCGGAGAACTATCATCTTCCTCCGAGAACTCTTGAATGATGATGGCCATCAGTTCATCCCTTTCCATGGTGCTAGGAATATTAGTTACTCGGAAAACGAGATTTCTGCGTGTTTCCTGTGATCCCATGCTCGCTTCCTATGGGGGCTGGTCTGGGGGAGGCCCTTATGCCGACTGATATGTTTCGCTAGGTGGAATCTTTACCGGGTTTCAGGGGGTCCCTTGATGAAATAAAAACATGGAAAGATAAGATGCAGTCAGGGTGAATGACAGGAACTTGCCAAAGTGTGGCAGGCGGGGACCTATTTGTAGGCACATCATTTTACTGCAGCCTTTGCCGTTAACCTATTAGCAAAAGTCTGGGGATACTTGTCTTTCCATAGCGTTTCCGAACACGACTGCTATTGCATGGGGTGCAAAAATGTGGACTTGGCCCGTTTTTGTACGGAATGCAATAACACCCCGGTCCGGAAATGCTGTAAAATTACGAGTAGACCCAAATGCGCGGCCCAGTTTCAAATGCGACTGCCTAGCGGGTTTTAAAGATAACTGGCGTATTACTCGCCGAATATGCAAGCCTAGGTTTGCAATTATTGGATTGAACTCGAAAAATACACCAATCCAGCTGCATATTCGCCTGTGGCAGGTAGAGTAAGGGCTGACTCTCCCACCGTCTGTCAAGGCTGACCCTTTTTCATGGGGGCCAAAGGCTACGGAAAATGGTCAGAGATTGATTTAGATTCTATAATCGATAAGGATATCTTGGGATTTGTTAGCAGAGCCATACATTTTGGCCCCCACGAAAAAGGTCAGGCAGTCTCGACGAACGATGGGATGCTTTGAGTCGTGGTGAAGTGTTCCTGGTGAAAGCGAAAGTCTTGGGGTTGATACCGTATCATTGCGCGAGACAACAATGCCAGGCTCAGAGCGCGGCGATGGTGGTGGGCTTTCACATCGGTTCTATGAAATTCTATCTCCACCGCATCAGCTGGTCTGCAGATCTTGTTTCCACGGGCGAGCTAGGCCCGGGCTGTGCCAACTGCAACTGACCCGTAGCAACTAGACATACCAATCAACCAGAGCACAGGATCTTTTCCACTAACAAACGACCGGGCCGCAGCAGAACCACCTCCGGGTCGTGCACGTGGCATGATTAAATAGCCCCTACTCCCCACCACTTGGCGCGCCGACCGCCACAGTCTTCGTGCCATTCCTAGCGCTTTCTGTGACCTGACAGTCCTATTGGCCCTTCAAAGAATTTTTGTAGTGAGTACGGACCAAGAAGCCCACTCATTTAGTTCTGACTTCTGCAATAATTCTACTAGACCCTGTACTCGGTGCTAGAGCTAGTGCGCGTGCGCGGGTGGGTGCGGCAGGCTCGGCAGGTGGGCGGGGGGCGGTGGCGGTGGCGGGTAATAGTGGTTGGGATGCAGAGGACTAGGTGAGAGGAAGGATGTTGGTGCATAGTAATGGGCGGATGGGCAGACGGACAGACGGGACGCTGAGAGGTGGGCAGGCGATATAGCGAATAGAGCAAGACAAGATGCGGGATATAGATAAGTGACATCAAATTCTGCGTGGAATGATAGAGCGCCCTATCCAGAAGTTATCTACTATAACGGAAGACTGGTGAGTCGGGTACGCTCTTTCCCCAGTCATAACAATTGCTCTGTGAAATACTCACAGTAGCCCTCCGAGAGAACATAGTAACTACATAGCTTGGTACCAACACCCGTTCAACATTCAGTAATAAGCCGGAAGCAAGAGGTATCAAGTCAGAAAAAACATTCATCAGCACGCTCCTTGCACTCCCTAGGCGGGAGTGCTCTGGCAGGGCGCAACAGCTCAGGCCGTAGTGCCACCAGCGTCATCAGGTGTCGGGGTTTCCGCCTGGAGATACTAAATCCCAATCACTGCTTAAACCGGCGTCCAAATCGGTGTGAAATTAGCACCCAATCCATTAACGAATCAGGGTTAGGGTTGCAGGTTAGGGCTGTTTGTGGGGGTTCTGTTTTTGTTTTATTCATTAATGCATGCAGCGGTATGTGAGGATATGTACTTATCATATCTCCCTACTTCCTACCTACCGCTACGCACTAAGCTAGGTACCCTTACCTGCATCTTCCGCATCTATCCTGAAACCGTCTAGGCTCCTAACGGAAATATCGATGCCTAACATGCACGGAGTCCAGGCCCCAATTCAGCGTACCCAATGGGGCAACCAAACCAGCACCATACCCAGCCGCCTCGACCACTAATAGGCAGGTGAGCGGGCAAGGTAGCAGCACTCAGGCGCGCGGGTGGCTGACCGGAGTCAATTTATGCGCATACTTGACTTGAGCAATGTAGCGTCCTCATCTCAGAGCAAGCTCAGGGAGCCAGGAGGAGCCAGCGATAAGCGGCGACCGCGAGACTCCACGGGGGAGGGGTTGTTGTCGCCACGCTCCGCCAGCAGTTAGTTGTTGTCCCCGCGAGTTAGGGTTAGGGCTAGGTTAGGGTTAGGGTTCTAGTAGGAGAATGTCGGACAGGATTTTGAGGTTGCCTGGGAACCGTCGTCCCACAATTCCCAATTCCGTGTTTACGGATTAAATAGGCCGCCCCAAGTCCATCGCCATCGTCAAATATGTAGGTACCCGGGGGTGGTGGTCTTGATGGCAGGGGCGTAGGTGGTGGTTGGGGGCTGTTGGGTAGGGTAACTCCCTGTGAGTCTTGGCAGCCTGTCCTGCAGCACTTCCGGCGTCGTCACTCACCGGTCGGGGTACCACGATCGATGCCTGCATGGTACCGAACGCACCGTCTCAACCTCACGATCATGACGGCGCTCGAAATTTAACGATGCCGAGTTTTCCCATCCTCCGCTTCGATGGAATACATGAATTTCGGATTCTGACCTCCGGGTTACCGCATTGGGCGAATCCCACTCCTTGACTCCGGTGCGTTTTATTGAACCGACTCGGATTCTGATATTCAGCTTACCACCCGGGTGTGATTTGTAACAGTAATTCGGATTTCAATCTCGGATCATGATATTCGCAATACTTGAAACATAATATGGGAGTGACGATCCATGACCGACATTCCATATTCTGTATTGTTGCACTCTGGTTTTAAATATCTCCTGGTTAGGGTTGCTCAAAATTTCAAGAAAATTAATTACTTCTGGTAACTTACTGGATTATTTTTTCGGAGCCATAAACTGAATTCTTTTGAAACATTTTAGTTTTGTCTGAAAGCCGCTAACCCCGAAACCTAACGAAAATTTTCAAAATACTTAGAAACTAAATTATGATATATAATATTAACAACTTACAATCCTAACAACGCCAATAAAATTTTTTACAAAGACGATGATGTATGTCAATAGACTGCAGGATATACTAAAATCTTATCGCATATTTATTTGTACAGAACGTTATTGACACAATTGTCCCTGAATTGTGAACTCTTATCCCTTCCAAATTACTTGTTTAATAAAGGAAAACAATCTTTGTAACCATAGCAAAATACTAATAAACTGTCATACACAACCCCCTTACGCCTATCTACCCCATCGAGCCCTGCAGGCAGGAAAAGAAGACTTTTACAAGTCTCTCCTGTCTCCAACTGGCGCGGTATATCCATCATGTCGCAATAAGGCGTCCTGAACATATGCTTTTTGAGAATCATAACAACAGGAATTTTTGCCCCCCCACAGTTCGCCGAAACCTAACAAACTCAATCAACTTAATCTACTATCATCGAACAAACCGAACTGAACAATGAACCATTCTTAATCTTCGCAGAATCCACCTCATACAATGAATCATACATACCCCGATATTACCACATATACTCAAGGTTTGTCCTACAGGAATCAAACGGCGGAGTAGACCTGATTTTTATGTTTTGATTAGATTAGTGCAGGTAGTCATTGCATTACTATTATTTCAAAGTGGAA